ATACTATTACATGATCAATTATAAGAAGTAGTTTTTTTTATTGTTTCATGAACTACTAAGAAGGAAAAACCAGGGACAAAACATAACACTACATTGATTTTTTTTTTAACATGCTATTTTCTTTTAATGTGTGCCCTGCATGTCCTCCTGTGGCCACTCAACCCTGCCAGAGAATTCCGATTACCTTTAACCCCAGGAAGGCCCAATAACTAATCCTTGAATTTCTGTTGCCTGCAACCACTCCTGATACAAGTTTCTGATTCTCAGTAGCAAAGTGTGTGTGTGTGTGTGTGTGCGTGCACGCTCACACGTGTGAAAGATACTGGATATTGTCTAGCTTCTGGAGGAGCTGGGATTGCTGGAGACCACATTTAGGGCTACCTTTGGCATCATCCAGGTCAGGCTTATAGAACTTGTTTGAAGAGACCAGCACTGCTCACCAAGGCCAGCCACTGGGTGCCGTGGCTTTGGCTGTGGACACTCGCTGTAGCATCACCTTCCCCCCGGCTCACCCTGGAGCGCGTGATCCCACCGCGGCTGTCATCAGAGTCCTTGGAGTCTGCTGCCTCTTCACTCGCTGGCTGCTGATTCCTGGCACCTGAGTGCATGTGCTCTGGCCCCAAGGGAGGCTGGAAAAGCAAAGATCTGGCATTTTCAGCATCTGTAATAGAGGCAAACCGTGCTTGCATCCGTCTTGCTGTGCGGGGAATTCCCCCAGCACAGGCAGATGTCCATCCTGACTGTCCCCGAAGAGTGGCAAGCGTCTGCGAGGCCGGCTCCCGGCAGCTCTCCCTTCTGCTCATCCTGAAAACTGGGAATCTCTTCCCCTGTCTGAGTGCTTCAGCAAGTAGTTGATTCTGTCTCCAGATACAGTCTCGAATCCATCCTCTTTGGCTCTTGTGTCGATGACTTAATACCGCCAACTGTTCATCCGCTTCATCTGGATGACTGTACAGCCTCTTTCCTTCCCGTCTCCACGCTCTTCCCCCTCCTAATCTCTGCTCCGCAAAGCAGCAGGAGGTACATTTGTCAGTCACCCTATAAACGTCTTCCCTAAAAGGCCTTCAGTTAGAATAAAATCCCAAATCCTTATTTTCGGTATAAGGAGGGTGGCCTTATGTCTCGTTTCACCTAGAGTACGATTTTTTAAGAGGGCTTCCTTTTATTCTCAAGAATGTGTGGTTTGGACCACACGTTACCGCCAGTGTACTGATACGGCCCTGCATTTTCTGAGCTCTGCCTCCCGCCCACCTCCCTCGTGAAACTGCTCTGGTGCTTGTCCTCTCTGACTTCTTCTCCCGCCCTTGGGGACTTGCGGGTTCTTCCCTTCTGCCTGGTACACTTTTCCTCACACTTACCACAGCTCTGTTGCCTGTAACCACCCCTTCCACGTCTTAATTGGTGTCTCTGAGATGCCTTTCCTAACCTCCCATCTGAACGGCCCCTCCCCCTGCTCTCTGTATCATTTCCTTGTTTATTTCTTCCATGGAGTCACCAGGATTTGACATTTAATTGTCTGTCTGTCGTTTAATCTCTGTCTCAGGCCCTAAGAACATAAGCTCCCTGTGGGTATGGATTATATGTTTTACTTACCATTGTATCCCAGGGCCACTTAACGGTGGCCCTCAGTCCATCACTAAAAGGTCTTCCTTCCTGATCCCTTGACAAGGTTAAGCTCCCATGCTAGACACAGTGAAAGCACTCCATGCTTTTCTTCCTTAGCGCGTCCCACAATTGTTCTTAAATAGTAATTGTGTAATTTCCCTTTGTCAGCTTCTCCTTCTAGATATACTTGGAGGAGAACAGAGGCATGTCCCTCTCAGGATGCTTAGAACAGGGCAGTTCAGTACACGTTGAGTCTGAGTATTCTGCAAAAGCATGTGTCTGGGAGCTAGGGAGGAGGCGGCAGAGGTGATCTCATCGGCCTCGCTCTGTGGTGGGTTGTGGAAGCTGCAAGGCGTGTTCCTGGTGGGGCGGGCGGGGAGGGCAGAGAGGCCACTGCAGCATCCCTTGTGCAGCCAGACTAGTGGCTTAGTCTTCCTCTTCAGTGGGATTTCCCTTGACTTCCTCTGCTTCCCTCTCAGTCTCCCTCTTAGAGGCTTCTTGAAGCCCAGAAAGATCTGGGCACATTGAGGACCAAGACCTTCAGCCAAGACAGATGGCAGGGATGGGAGCCAGGCCTCTGGATCCTAGGGATGAGCTGGAGAAGTGTAGCGAGAACTTTCAGCTAATAACCCTAACTCGATTCGGTGTTATCTTTGTGAACAGCCTTGTCCAGTGATAACGGAGAAGTATCCCAAACAGATTCAGCACCCAGTGAGGGTCTAACCAAAACCGAAGGAAATGAAGTTTCATCACCTGTCGGAAAACCTCTGAATTTATCAGAGGCCAGTGGAAGCGTACCTGTAACATCCAGCACCTCAGTCCAGCAACAGACGACTACAACAGCTAGTGACAAAGCGGACTCAGACAACACTACTACACCCAAAACAACCACTGTCTCTATGAAGCCTGAAAACATAAGCAGCCAGAATGGAATTTCAACTGCCACAACTGGATCTGGAACCCAGAGTAACCACAGTGTGACCACAAGCAGCACGACCACTAAGGAAGGAACTCGGCCAGCCTCTGAACCTCAGAATCTAAGTAAACCCTCAGACACCACTACTGCTCTCACTTCCTTGACCACCCCCGCAAGCACTCGCCAGTCTAACATGGTCCCTGTGCCTTCGAAGCCCTCAGGGAACTCCTCCGAGGGACCGAAGGAAGTTACTACAGCTGCTAGTTCAGGCCCAGTGGCGGGTCCCACCGTCACAACTCAGGGGATGCTGACCACACCAGGCAAGTAATGCCTTTTTTTTTTCAAGCAGAAAAACGTTCAAATACTTATGTTCTATATGGTTGCTCAGCTAGAAGATGGAGATTCACTCTGTGGGTTAAGTATCGTGAACACACGCCACCTTCACTTAGCCTGTTTCCCGTTTCAGCGATGAGCAGAGGCAAGAGGGCTGTGTGTTCTGATGTGAGCTCAGTGTTTTGACTTGTCCACTTGAGCGTTTACTTTTCTTAAGTGCTGGTCTTAATCCTGTAAATTAATTTCAAAACTCACTGATGGATCGTGAGCCTCAAGATCATGAGCCATGTCAGGTCTATTGAGTCAGACTTTCTGGGCGTGAACCCGAGAATCTGCATTGTGAGGCACTCCACAGGTAGTCTGGGTGCACGCTGGGTCAGCAGACGGCCACACTGGAAGAGCATGGTCGTATCCTGCAGTAAGAGGAAGGGCTCCAAGTTGGATAAACCTGGATTCAGATCCCTGTTCTGTTGCTTGTTAGCACGTGATGTCAGGCAGTTCATCGAGCTCCTCTGAGCCTCAGTTTCCTTGTTTATAAAATAGGGATAATTATGGTACCTTCCTCATAGGGTTATTGTGAGGATTAAGAAAGAAAGTAACCTTTGAAGCACTTAGGACCCTCACACGAAGTAAGTGCTCAGTTAACGCCAGCTTCTGCTGCTGACATCATCATTCCTCTTCTTACTCCTCCCTTGCACTGGCTCATCCAGTCTGCGCCTCCTGTGAGATGCTACAGGACTGGCTTCATCTATCTGCCTCTTCTTCCTCACAGCCTGCCTCCTTCAGCTTGTGGTCTAGGTAGGGGATAAGACTAAAGAACCTCAGAAAACTAAGAACGAGAGAGACTCTCCTTTTCTGTTAAAGGCACCACTCACCTTTTCTCATAACCTTCATTTTCCCAGTTACAGTACCACAGGTTTCCTCACCCGGCACTCAGCACACCTCCAGCAACATGCCAGCTGTCACTGGGAGCTCTGCGGCTCTGCAGCCTACAGGCTCTTCACTGGGACCTGGGACCTCATCACCTGTCGCGGGACCCACAAGCTCCAACACTCTGTTGATGCCAACTGCCTCACAAGGCTCCAGCACCCCTTCCATTGTCTCAGTAGTTTCAGTACGTGGGGCAAAGGTAAGAGAGCCCAGCCTGGGAGAGAAGGGACTCCGAGAAGAGCATTTATACTCCTCCCTTCCCAGGGTCCTTGGCGGGGCTGTGAGGAGCCATCGTCATTCACCCCTTGTCTCTGGCTTAGACAGCTGGATAGCCAGTAACACACCTGGCTAGGAAACTCCAGCTGGCCACGCCCCCAGCTTGCCCGGATCTCCCAGGGGAGGGAGGGAGGGAGGGAGGAGTCAAAGACAAGATCCAGTCAGGCTGAGCCTGACCATTAATATTAAACCCAGTGGCTTCTTCCAGATACAGTGCGAGTCTCCTGAAGCACCAAAAGAGAAGATGCTCATCCTGAACCTCTCGACACCCATTAGCTGTGTGAGTACCGTGCTCATCTGAGCCCCACCGTGATGTACACCCCAAAATGTGCTTTAGCAGCAGGGTCACAGAAGGTAGAAGGGAATGAAGTGTTCTTTCTAGAAAGGAGCAGAGAGGTGTGTTCATTTTTCTGCCATTGTTTTTTTCCTAGTAGGACGTAGTCCCTTTCCATCTTCATGAGGGACAAAAGCAAGGTTCAGACTTCACTAAGGGAAGCCCCGCCCACAGGGCTGCTGCAGGGCCAGAAGTGCCAGCTCTCCTGGGCTTCCACGTCACAGCGTCTGAGAGCCTGGAGACCCCAGTCCTGGTTCCTGTTTGCTTCTAGCTCCGGGTGTGCCTTTGTTAAGTCGATCTCTTTGAGCTTCAGGGGCCTCAATTGAAAGTGAGAGGCTTAGTCTGCCTAGCTCTCCCTGTTCTAATAGTCTGTGGTTTTATATATTTTTATATTTCCTGGTCCATGTTTTATATGATGGCCTCCCTCTAACCTGGGGGAACCATTGTCAACAGTTTCTTCTTCCAGTCAGGGTGATACGTGTATGTACTGTTTGGGGGAGATGGTGTGAGCACGTGTGTGAATACATTTGCATAAAAGAAAGAGTAGCAGTGTGTCCACTGCCTTGAGACTGCCAGTCTCCCTAGGATTAAGGGCTTTGGTCCCAGGCTGTCCGCTGCAGTGCTTACTTAGTAAGTAGCTGAGAGCCGAGTGCTGGTAATGGATGGCTCACTGCTGCCCTCTTCTGGTCAGTGGTTATTTTGGCAAACACCCCTAGAATTAGGACAGGACATGGTTTCTAAAGGATGGAGAACTTGGGTTTATAATTCTTTGAGGCCACGTGTGTTTTCTGTAGTTGTTTTGAGTGTCGATCATGCTGGAATTCTCCATGTGAACTATAGAAAAGTATGCATTTAGACTGGAGTTTTAACATATGACCCAGTAATCCTGCTCCTGGGCATATATCCAGAAGGAACCCTACTTCAAAAAGACACCTGCACCCCAGTGTTCATAGCAGCATTATTTATAATAGCCAAGACATGGAAACAGCCTAAATGTCCATCAACAGATGACTGGATAAAGAAGATGTGGTATATTTATGCAATGGAATACTATTCAGCCATAAAAACCAACAACATAACGTCGTTTGCAGTAACATGGATGTTCCTGGAGAAAGTCATTCTAAGTGAAGTAAGCCAGAAAGAGAAAGAAAAATACCATATGAGATCACTCATATGTGGAATCTTAAAAAAAAAAAGAACATAAATACAAAACAGAAACAGACCCATAGACATAGAATACAAACTTGTGGTTGCCAAGGGGGCGGAGGGTGGGAAGGGACAGAGTGGGAGTTCAGAATTTGTAGATACTGACAGATATATGTAGACTAGATAAACAAGATTATACTGTATAGCACAGGGAAATATATACAAGATCTTGTGGTACCTCACAGCGAAAAAAAGGTGACAGTGAATATATGTATGTTCATGTGTAACTGAAATTGTGCTCTGCACTGGAATTTGACACAACATTGTAAAATGACTATAACTCAATTAAAAAAATGTTTAAAAATAAAAACAGACTGGGGTGTTAAAAGGGAGCAGTGTTCCCCTGGGGTTGGGCTTACTGGACAAGGCAGGAATCACATTGATGCTTGCCCAGCCTTTCCTCTGGCTCTCTTTTTGGCTGAAACTTGGCAGGGGTGTGTTTGGTCATGAGAAGCCTTTTTTTTTTTCATTTGTTATAAATGGAAAGAGGAAATCCCTGGCTCTTTACCTGATATCAGTCTGCGAAATTAGTAAGCCTAAGGAAATTCCAGGTAGAAACCCAAGGAATAGTTTGTGGGGCAGGCCATACCAAGAGTTCTTTTCTTCATCCTGGTACCCTTAACTCCAAAACTGGTCAGAGAAACATCAGTTTGGGGTGCCTGTGGATGACGTGGCAGGACTGGGTAAAAGCAGCCCTCACTTTGCTTCCTCATTCTCAGCCTTAAAGCCATGTCAGCCAGGCCATTTCTGTTTAGAAATGTAGAAAGCTTCCTTCTAAGATGTTCTCATGTGCATCTTCAAGGTACTCCCAAGTTCCCCTCTTCAGTGACGGCCTCGCTTTTCTCCCTGTCAGCCTGTTTATGGTTTCAGTGTCTTAGCCCAGGGAACGGGCACACCTTTCAACTTCGGGATAGATAAACTTGATCTGAGAGTCAGGGCTACCCATCCCACCCCCATGAGGTTTCTGAACTCGGCATCAAAGGCTGGTGAATGGCAGGTTCAGGTGGGACTGGTGTCTTCCCCACTGGCAGTGCCTCCTCAGGGAGAGGTGGTAACAGGCAATCAGGTCATGATCCTTAAAGAGATTTGAGGGAGAAAGAAGCACTAGGGCGAATGGTATTGTTCAACCACGGACGAGATAAATGGTGGGAGGAGACCTGGGGATGAGATCGGCAAGGGGCAGAGGAGGCAGGTGCTGGCCCAGGAGGACAGCACGTCACTCGCCACTCTGGCAGGCCTGGGACTGGCACCGGTTGAGGCTAGAGTAGGGAATAAGTTCACATCTGACCTGAGCTTCGAAGGGCAGCCCCACAAGCCTAGGCTAATGTCATGATCCTTGAGAAATCACCTGTGGTCTCCCCACAGCAGGAGGCAAGCCCTTTCAATGAGAAACTGGTCACACTTCTGTGCCAAGCAGCAAATGCCACCTTCAGCCTAGTTCAAGATGAGTGCTGTGTTCGGCTGGCACCTGTTATAGACTTTCCGGGAGTGCAAATCAAAGAAGTCACTATTCGCAGTGAGTTGAGGGCAAGGTGGGGGTTGAGGCCAATGGGGGTGGGAATAGGGCAGAGGGTGGCTGCTCAGGAGCCACAAGGATGGGTCAGTTGTCAACTCCCAGCCACCTGAGAGAGAGACACCACTCAGGAGATTGAGATACAGTATGTCCTCCTCTGTCCCTTACCATGTCACTCTGAGCTAGACCACTGAAGCCGCATCTCTCCCTCTCCCCCCTCAGAAAGATTCTCTCCCAAGGACGTGTATGAACTGCTGCACAATAAATGGGATGCGCTAAAAGGGGTAAGTGGATGCCCCCCTGTGTTGGGACAGACTGAGTCAGGAGCCTGTCCCTCTGAAGTCCCTGGTTACCTTGCTTGGGCGTCTCTCTCATTGTCAAGGAACCTCCAGTTTGCAAGTATCTAGACGGTAGGCGGATAAGGGGGCAGCAGGGCGGTGGAATAGGCCCCACCAAACCCCAAGCAGAGGAGCTCAGACATGAATGGTAGTTCTGAGAGAGGGTGCCCCGGAACCTGTTCTCTGCCACATAGCTTTCTCCTTCTCGGCCAGGTGGGAGTTACTAACATGGCATTGGGGGATCGAGGACCACCAGAAGAGACTGAGGACCGGTTCAGCATGCCCCTCATCATCACCATTGTCTGCATGGCATCCTTCTTGCTTCTGGTCGCGGCCCTCTATGGCTGCTGCCACCAGCGCCTCTCCCAGAGGAAGGACCAGGTGAGGACTTATTCCCCTGGCCAGGGAGCAGTCTGGGTCACTAGATGACGCTCACCCCATTGTTCCCATATTAGAGAGAAGTGAATGGGCCACGGACCCTTTCTGATAGGCATAGGCCGTCCCTTATAGGAAATGGAAACTTACATGAAAAAGTAAAGAGGCAGCATGGTGGAGGGGAAGAAGATGGGCTTTAGAGTCAGGAAGACCTGGTTTAAGCCCTAGCTCTGCCTCCTGTTATCTGGGTGGCCTTGAGCAAATCATATGGTCTCTGAGCTTCAGGTTTCTCATCTGCATAATGGGGATTATACCCACCTTGCAGAGCTGCTCTGAGGACCCACTGATAGAAATGAGCCTGAGCACGCCTGTCTGACCAGAAGTTCTTTCACTTCCCTCATTACAGTTCCACCCATACCCATGGTTCTACCCTGGCTGTACACTGGTGAGCTTTAAAAAATCCTTATGCTTAGCTTCCTCGCACACCAATTGAAACGGACTCTCTGGATTAGTATATTTGTTAAAACCTTCCTGGGGACTCTACTGTGCAACCCAGGTTGTATCTTGGGTAAAGATGGAGAGAAAGCACTATCTCCGGCGGCTCCTGTCTGCAGCAGAGATGGCTGTAGGTTCTGCTGTACCCATCTTGCTCGGGCTTAGGGAGGTCCTCAGTTACATGGCCTGATGAAAGTAATTTTCTTAAAGTTCTTCCCAATTCAATGCAGTGGGGTAAGGCAGGGGCCTGGAGTGTAAAGTTGGGTGGGAAGGTATGGAGGCAAGAGGAGAGTGGAGGACTCTGGAGAACAAACTCCATTTTCACTGACCTCATGGATTTGCCACCAGGGCAAAGGCAAGGTGCGCTGGGAATTTTAGGATGTTGGGCGAGTTCATAGACTAGCCCTGAGGCTGGCCAGTCATCAGGATGGCCTCTGGGAGCACCTACTACTCACATTAACCAAATTGGAGTTCCTGGATTATAGGTACAGCTGTTATATTAAAGCTATATTCCGGCTGCGGCCCTCTATGGCTGCTGTCACTAGCGCCTCTCCCAGAGGAAGGACTAGGTGAGGACTTACTCACCTAGCCAGGGAGCAGTCCAGGTCACTAGATGACTCTCACTCCATTATCCCCTCAAAAATTACTCTTTTTTTCCTTGCGTCATCTCCTATAGCAACGACTAACAGAGGAGCTACAGACAGTGGAGAATGGTTACCATGACAATCCAACACTGGAAGTGATGGAGACCTCATCAGAGATGCAGGAGAAAAAGGTCGTCAACCTTAATGGGGAGCTGGGGGACAGCTGGATCGTCCCTCTGGACAACCTGACCAAGGATGACCTAGATGAGGAGGAAGACACACACCTCTAATCAGGTCTGCGGGCGGCCTCCAGCAGTGCACAGAGCTCCGGCTGAACCACCTCAAGTGCCATTTGGATAGGGGAGGAGATCCTCCCCCTCTGAGGGAAAGACTGGAGAGGAGACCAGACTTGGAGGGCTCCCTCCTTCCAGTCCCCACAGGCCTTATTCTTCAAGTTGAACACATTCTGTCTAGAATCCTTTCGTAAAATAATCCACTAGTGCCTGAGCTCAGTGCTGCTGGGGGATCTGGAAAGAGCCACATTTAGAGATGAGCTAGTAGAATTCCTTCATTTCACAGACTGGCCTAAAGAGAGTAAAGTCAAGGTCACCCAGCTACTGGGTGACAAGAGTTAGGATGAAAACAAAGATTACTTCGTTCAGTCCAGTGCTCATTCCCACCATGCCATGCTCTTGCGGTCACCTGTGCCCTCCCTCCAGAGCTGCCCTGGGCAGGGGGTGAAGCTGCCAGTCAGTGGATAGGATGGAGGGGAGAGCAGGGCCAGATCCTGTCTCAGTGGAATCTGATACTTGAAGGGATTGGTCCCCTTTTCTGTCTCCTACGCCAGCCTCGTCTGCCAGTGTCCCATCCTCTTTCTTCTCCCTGCTCCCTTCACTCAGTTTTTATTCCCACTCTGTCCCAGAGCCCCTGGGACTAACACAGGTCATTCATGACCTTGAACCCATTGTTCTGGATTCTAGTTTCCTGGCATTTGCTTAATGAGTTAGGACTGAACACCCCCTCCCCCCAAAACACCAGTGTGAACAGGTCTCCCCAAGGGTCCATCTACAGGTAAAGAGAGAAGGGGACACCCTTCCTCCCAGGAAGGGCCCTGGCAAAGCCCCCCAAGGCACTCCTTGAAGAGGCTCCCCCGAGCGCTGCTTTGGCCTCCTGTTCCCACCAGGGGCTAACATCCACAGGCAGCTACTGAAGGCAAAGTTTTGTTGTCACTGCTTAGCTGATACACTGGGGGTGAAGACCCAAGCTAGGGCATCCCCTTGAGATCCTGCGTGAAAGAGCAGCTTTAGGGCAGAGCTTCTTGGGGCCCAGTCAGCAGAGAGGTATCTTAACAATCGATTAAAATAGCAGGAAGGAGAGGCTTTACTCTCCACTTTGTAGGGAGCTCAGGGGCTTTGCAGGTCGCTGAGAGTGTTGTTTTTAATCCAGCCTCTACTGCCAAAGGCCGAAGCTCCAGTGTTGGGAGGCTTTTGGGTAGATTCCCATGTACCTGTGCCACAAGGTAAGATAGGCCTAGATCAGTGGTGCATTAGGGGCAGCTCGAGGGGCTGGCCTTCCATTCCCAGCAACCTCCCACCGTCCGGGGACAGAGCTACACCTTGCTGTGTCCCTTCCTCTGTATTCCCAGCGGGGCTGCCCAGTGCTCCTTCGGGTTTTGGTGGCATCTCAGGGAAACAAAATGCTGATGCTGCCCGGTGGAGGGGTTTTGAGGGCACTCAGCAGGTGAACGGCACCTGAGGACTGGGCATGGTGAGATTTCCTCCAATTTTCTGAGAAGAGGGAATCCTGTATGGAATTTTGAACTTTGCCCGTGGTCTCTATTGTTCCTGGACATAAATTCCCTAAAACCAACTAGGAAGATAGGGAGAACTGCTTAGGAAAATGAAAATGGTCATTTCAGGGCAAAAAGCCAGACCATTTCGTGACAGGCCCAGGCTGCAGTAGTTCTGATAAAATAGGCTATCTGCTTTGGGATAGGTTAGTTTTCCAAAGGGGAGGAGCTTAGGGGGAAGACCAATGTCTATGTCCTTCCTTGGCCACCTGATTCCCTATTCGTAGCCTTTAGCCATTTGGTATCCAGGGGAAAAGGAAGGCCAGGGGTTCAAGTAGGGCCCCAGTGAGCTTCCCAAGAGCTGGAAGATGCTAAGCTAAAAAGGGTCTAAAAGTATCTGCCCTGATTCTCTAGTCTCTAGTATTTGGAGGTTGGCAAGATGGAGTAATGCCAGTTTGGGGAAAAACAGAGGAAACCTTGTTTAACTGGGAAAAGATCTGTTTGCTTCTTTCTTACACACTGTTTGGGTCTTTCTAGCCAGTGGGATCATGGCCACGATGGGAGAGGCCAGACTGGATTGTTACTCCTTTGCTGATTCTGGGTCACATTTCACCTGCCAGCTTTAGACAGACATGAACAGTGTCTCTGCAAACCAAAGGCTGCAAACCCCAGGCCTCTTGGGGAGAGAGAGAAGACTGGCAAAGACAGTAAACACTGTGCTTGGTCCAGAGGAGTGACTGTGTCCCTGTCCAACGACAACCTTGAGAAGCTTTGGGCCAGTTCAGAGGTTCTTTCTTTTGGTATATCCGAATTATATTGCTCTAGCCTTTTAGGGCACCTTGCCTTGGCTTGCTTCTGCCACTAGACATCTGTGTCAAAGGCCACACAGCCACGTATCTGTCAAGGTCATCTTCCCACATCTTTACTGGGCTCTAATACTGTCTGCAGTTCACACTCTGGGGCTGAGAGGAGAGAAGAGGAACACCATCAGGAACTCTGCATGACTCAAAACAGGTTGTGCCAAAGAGAGATGATGAAGTCTTTATTCCAGTCCCTGAACTGCATAAGAGGCCAGAAACCATGAGCCTGATGATTGGGCAAAATCCAGTGGGAAGTGCGCTGTCGTGAGTGGGGAGAGATGCAGCTGTGAAGAGGGTACAGAATAGTCTCTGCATCATAGGACAGGATATGGGTTTAATTTGGTCTGGACACAAGATTCTTCTTTCCCCTCTTGATAAAGACAGCTAGCAGAAAGTTTATTTAAGCCACTTCAGGAGCTTTATCTTTTTGACAATATACTGGAGAAACTTTGAAAAACACATTCATGCTGAAATATATATATATTTTGATAATGCAAATACAACAGCCACATGTTAATCCACCCTGCACTTCTTTGAATATACTCCGAAGCATTTGTTAGCTAAGAGAGATGTTTTTTTTCCCTCTAAACAGGAATGTAAATGTCTGTTTTACTAGAAATGACAAGTTTTTGTTTTTCTTTGTTGAAAAACGAAATACAAGAAAGGCTGATGATCACAGATATTTTAAATACAATCCTCACCTCTCCCCAGTAAAGTCCCGTCACATTACAGTAAGGGTCGGAGTCCATATGCAGTGGTTGGAAAGTGACACTCTAGTCGTAGGGAGAGGGTTTTAGAACCTAATCTTTTTTTTTTTTAACAGGAAAAGAACCTGAAGCCCAGAAAGATACAGTGACTTGGCCAAAATCACATGTTTAGTGACAGAAACAGGATTACAACCTGGGTTGGAAGACTGTCCAAATGCTGTGTGCCTCAGGAAGAATCAAGAAATTAAGGACTGTTAATGAAGGACAGGCACCAGAATGACACAAAGGCCAGAATTCCCTTCTCAGATCTCCTGCAGCAAGGCTAGGGAGAGCGTGAAGCCAAGAATAGGCACCCTACTGGTCTCCTACGCTTCTGAGTTATTTAGGTCTACGACTTAAATGAACAATTGTTTTCTACCAAGAAATAGTTTTGAATGAGCTTTTACCTATAGATCTTCTATTAATAGGACTAAGGATCAAAGGGAACAAGACAGGAAGGCAGAGGGGACGAGAGCAAAGCAGTGGCGTATCTTTCATCACTGCCATTAGCTGATTCACTCAGGTTTGGTGAAAACCCAACACTGAGTGAAAGGAGGGGATTAGTATTTGCTGTGGGTCTTTTAAAAACTAGTGAATGTTAAAGAATTTGCCCAGGACACTGGGGAAGCATGTGTGTTAGTGGACAGGGGTCTAAAGTACACTGGAATTGAGAAACCTGTTTGTAAAGACTACTTAATTGTTGACATTTTCTTACAAAAATATATTTTGTGAAATTGTTTACTATCAATTAAAGTGCTTTTGTGTAAGCTGGTTCAAGCCCTAGTATTTTGCTCTGAGTGGGTTACATTCTTCACTTGTGCGTGAGGCTTGTCACTTGAAGCCCCTGAAGACATCAGGCGCTCCGGTGAGCGTAGTAACCCCTGCTGTTGTTGCTCCTGCTTAACTGCGCAGAAGCATTTGTTAGCTAAGAGAGAGGGTACAAGAGAAGCACGGAAGCTGAAAGGAAGGAAACGGGATCCTCAAGGTGATGACAGTTCTCCAGATTATCTCTGGCTGCTCTGGTGATCGTAAGTCAGAGGCTCTCATTTTCCCTCACAACACTGTTTATCAGTATTTTACCCTCTTCCTTCCCTCTGCTTCTGCCTCAGATACAACTATGAACCACCCACCACCAAAGATCCCAAGGGGGCTGCTGAAGCCTGATCAGGTATGAAAACACTGGCACAGAGACCATACAAAAGCGAAGGAGTCTTTTCTGCCCATAAAAGGATATTTACTTGTCAGAAACTGCCTCTGCCTGTCCCCTGTCTAGACACACAGAGGAGATGAAGGAGGTTCAGGAAAGGTGATTCTGATTCTCTTCATGTCCCGAGGTGGTATCATCTACCTGTGTGTTTCTTCAGTGCTAGGGGAACGCTTCGTCACGGCCAGCTCGCAGAAGGGCAACCGACAGGCGAATCTGGCCCACATTCATGGTTGCTGTACAGCCGTCTCTTCTATTTGCCTGGCCTCATAACAGTTTACAAAACATTTTTACACATTTTATTTAGGAATTGTCACCACTGTACGGACTGAGCAGAGAGATTAAGGATTCTCTTTGGGATCACACAGCTATTTAAATGGTACTGCTAGGCCTTGAATCTGTATCTTTTCTCTCTTCAGTCCTACATTCTTTTCTCAATACCACATTAATGCTTGAGTTCCAGTACTAACAAAGTACACTTCTAGCATGTAACTACTATTAGAATATGATTTTCCCTTCATTCTGAAAGGCAGTGAACAGCCTTAAGGGTGGGCCAGAGTTGGGCCAGGGGTATTTTGAGGTTAGCTTCGAGAGCATGCCGAGGGTACAGAAAGGAGCACAAGTGCAGGAACTCAGGCAGGCCCCTGGCCACACTGTTCTAAGAGAGGGACTCATATTTACCATGACCACAAAGACCCAAGACTCCATTTCTCTTCCTGAATAGGTCATTCCCTCTGCTCCCTGCTCTGCCAACCCAAAGGCACTCTTGAGTTGTCATATTTAATTTGTACGCCTCTGTCACTCATAGCCCCCCATCCTACAAGCTCCCTCCCAAACCACATATTTCTTTTGTACCCCAAGGGAAAAAAGTAAATAAAGAATAAGACTGGCTACTATAATTAGCAGTACTGATAAATACTGAGATAACTAGTATTTTTCAACAACCTTGCATTTTATAGATTAAAAAGTTGGGGTCCTAGCAAACAGGATCTGCTGCCAAGATTTACTTACAAGATGGAGAAAGTGAGGCAAGGGAGTCGAGACTGTCCAGTGACAGAAGTCACTGGCGAATCTGGAAGCAAACCTAGGATTCCTGACTCCTGCCCTGCGCAATCCATCCTTAACAGCCCAAATTCAGAGGGCAGGTGTATAAAACATGCTACAGAGATTACCAGGTGTCCTAATCTCCCCTCTTGGGTTTTATCAACTATCAAAATTTCCTAGCACAGCAGGGGACAGATCCACAGATCACTTCTGTGGTCTTCAACTTCTGTAACTTTTCTCTCGTTCTTCCCTGTAATAAGAATGTTTCTGGAAAGGATGTAACTAGCCACCTTTGCTTTTCCTAGGTGGGAGAAAAGTCCCCGGTAGGTCTCCACACTCATTTGACGTGGGAGCAGCTGGCATCTCAACTGTGTTAAACACAAAGGCCTCTTTACTTACTGCCACCTTCCCACCAGATGACAAAGATAGCCAGGAGAGGAGGTGGTGATCCACATTTAGATCCTTTTGAGTTAATTCTCTGGAGGATTAACCCAGGAAAGGCCAATTCCTTACCTTATCACTGCACATCATGCTTTCCTGTTGTGAAAACAGAAATGTTACTTAGGAGCCATGATCAAAGCACCTCTAGAAATGAAAGCTATGCAGTGAGATGGATTATTCACCTGGAGAATGAGAAAACATAATCCTTATTTTGAATAACATCAGTTGACAACTAATTTGCTGTAGAATGCAGGATCACATACAGAGCCAGTAAAGCGTGAGCCAGATCAGGAGATGGAAAGGGCCAGAAGGAGGGCTCCTTGTTACTGAGAGTCTATCTGGAAAGCTCACACAACTCAACCCTAATAGTCCATTATCTTTGGCATAGTTCTGAATTCATTTTCTTTTTCAAGGTTCAGCCCTTTCCCTTTCTTTGGGGACAGGGACCCATAATTTTCTGAAACTCTGCAACATCTCCAGATTCTCTCTACTCTCTCTTCTACAATTAATTTCAGTTCAGTCTTTTCTTCTAGTTCCTAACCTGTAAGTATGTCCCCCTTAAAGAAAACCTGGGAAACACAAGTCCAAATTTACAAGACAGATAAAACAGGGCTGGTGATTAACAGTAGATTAAAAAAAAAACTATCATTTAAAGAAATAACTTACCAGAGTCCTTTAAAAATGGAAACTTGCCCAGAAACTTTAAGATCCACTAGAACTTCTTTATTTTAGCACTGCTTCAGAGGAAAACAAGGCCCTTCTCCATGTATCATTTTCTGTCTTTGGAAGCCTGAATAAAACTCACCTTCCTGAGAGAAAAATACTAATTGCAAAGTATGTAAACATTTAAAAAGTTGACTTCAAAAGCAGTTTTATCAAACACAAGAGATATCTTGTATTGTCCATATATAACTTTTTATTAAGAAAATGAACAAAATACATTCTTTCTCCATATGTACATTACATACAACATAATTCTACAACTGCAATTGTTTAGCAGATCACTCATTTATTCACAAAGCAGTGTTAACACAGTCACCAAACCTGCGATCAGAACATTACTTTCACTAAAAAACAAAACCCTAAAAAGTCCACACAGACTAAAAAAATAAGATAGAACAGGATCATGAGGGGAATGGGGGAAGACTGCAGAACACACTCAACATAGCCCAACAATAACTTACAACAATGACGTCAGGAGATACCTGATGCCCCAAAGCACTTCTGTTTAGCAGCTCCAACTAGGTCACGCCAGCTGTTCCAGACTTCCCTCATGATTTCCATTTCTGATTTAGGGACATTGAGGATACAGCCCCAATCCCATTTTGCTACAGAAGAGGAGGGTAAAGGAAGCAGTAGAAGCCTGAAAGGTTGCAGCTCTTCCTCTCGCATTAAGAAAAGGACTCTCATGAAATAAAAAACTCCTGAATCTTAGCTGGAAACCAGAGAAATACATTGTTTTGGAGAGACATTTGCTAAGCATGGTAAGGGAACCCTTGTTTCAAGGACTTACTTATATTTACGTTCATTTAGTCGGTTTCTCTTTTGCTTTTCTCTGCTTTTCCTTTGTCCTTTTTAGGTATGGATTTAATTATGGTTGTATTAAAAAATCCATCTAAACAGAAAGCTCTTCATGGGTATGAATATGCTCCCAATGTCCATAATGGTGCATAAAGGGCTTAAAAATTCAAATCAATCTTAGAGATAAAATTGCCAATGACCTGAACTCCCTACAGCTTTTGGGTAATATCTTACACTGCAGTTAAGACTTAAAAGACACATATTAATAGAATTATTTTCAGATTGTTTGTCTAGAAAAGGGCAATGCTCTAAAGGAATACAGTAAGGGTAGGCACAATTGCTTGCACCCCAGTCTTCCACACTTGTGGTAAAAGACAATGAGGAATGGCTGTGTCAATTTTTTAAAAAAGCTTTTTCTGGCTTTGCGTTGGATAACAGAAGGAAGTCAGGAAAAATAAATGAGTCTCATCGGTTAAATAATAGTGGCTTTCCTTCTTTAGACTTAGTAATTTCCTGTATTTCTATGTTAAACATTTTTATAATCATATAACGAGTAAATGTTATTATTTAAAAATCTTATAAAAGATGTTTAACTGAAAGTCTCTGACTTTCAGATGAGCTGGCTGCTATAATGTCATATTTCCAGTCCAGGAGATGTTCTAAGACAGAGAAGGAGCTATCCATAGCATTAATAAGCAGACCCAGAAAGACAGATTTTATTGACTTTGGATAGAACTGTATCTTCCCTCTCAATCTAATTTCCAGTCCAACTTTGGTTTTGAGGATCTATCTCTACCTAAAGGGATCTTAATTTCTGGCCAATGAGCACTAGTTATCTGTAGAAGAGTTGACTTGAAAAAAATTCTAACATTTTCCCCAAACTGCATACACACACACACACCCACCTACCATCTTTCCATTGAAAAGATGGAATAATGTTAGCAAAACCAACACAAGAAAAGGAGGCCCTAAGCTTTCCTGTACTCTCTGAGGCTGCAGATTCAGCTACACATAGATTCTGAAGTGGTGACATGGAATAAATCTTTGAAAAGAAAAACCTATCTCCATAAAAGGATCTGTTCACAGAAAAATGTCTCATTATTTTGCAATTCTAAATTGGGCTGAAGACTATACATAAAGGAAAATTAATACTATACTATCTAATCTGTTCAATTCAAACAACATTTTACACAAGTCAAGAAAGCAATAACACAACCATAGCCTCTCTTGGCCAGGCTAAATGTAATGCTTAAGAAAGTAAGTCTACTGTGATTTCTCTAAATGTTTGGTTTACAACTGAGGGAGAAAACAATTTACAACTGTCATCAAAATCATTTTTCTGGGAAAGGAAAAAGTATCTCAAAAAGGAGACCAAGTGCATGATTTTTAAAAACACCTATCTTCCCTACAGAAGGCTACTTATATTTAAAATTTTGGACTTTGATATCCTACTATCAAATTTGGGGTTGGGCACACAAGTACTTTAGTATGTCTTTGCATTCAGTGCTCTTACAAGTATAGCTAATCTGTATGTGTAAATTTAAGCTAAGCCTTTAGAAAGG